CCCCCCCCCCCCCAACCATACACACAAGGAACGCGTCACCCCTTCTTGGGCTTCTCCTTCTCCATCGTGGCATCTTTGTTGCCTGCATTCTTCGCGTCGTTCCCGTCTCTATTCTCTTTGTCTCCTACAGCCTGCGCGATGATACCCTCCGCGTTTTTTGTGACCCACGACGGCAGCATCAACTCAGTGTTCATCGCAAGCCGCGGGAGCAGCATCAACTTCAAAAACACTGCCATGAGACGAAACGCCATTTCCTGCGGTACACGTGGCACATGTCGCGTCATGAGAATGAGCGTCTGTGCAAACCGATCCCAAGTGGGAAAGTACTGCGCCCGCCTGGTATAGTAATCGCGTCGTGCTCCCCAAAAGAGCTGTTCATCGCCGTGCAGGGCCTCGGCGTCAATCACACGCTGGCAATTGCCGTCGCTGATTTTCTTCCGCTCTGCTGGGCGGTACTCTACAACAACGGCGGCCCGCGTCACGTGACGCCCCCCGCGGCGCGTGAGAAACCCGCGCTGCACAACCTGCAACCGTGAGCGCGATGCCACGGACGACAGCGACGAAGGCAGTGACATCAACTCTATTCTTGGCACGCTCCTACCCCTCTCCGTTTTGTTCCTGCAGCCCTTCGCACCCCAACACACACACACACGCCCCTTAGGACGCCACCACAGCGAGTCAGAAAAAAGGGAGGAGGACGCACTCCGGCAGGCGTAAACGCCGCGAACACCTCACCTCACACGCAGTACACACAAACGCGCATACGCAGTGACTAAGCAGCACTCACACCTTCAATAGCGTTATCATGTAACGGAAAAAAAAAGCGGTTGGCAACCAAGCAAGTAAACAAAAAACTCTCTCTTCTTCTACGCCCCACTCCTTCCTTTTTGCACCACTTTAAGTTCTTATTCATCTCCGCATTTTAATTTACATGCTCCATTTTTCGGGGCAAAAGCAAATCGATGCTTGCTACCAACATGCTAAAAGCTCTTGCTCACGGCGCTTTCGCGCATCTCTACAGGCACACACACACACACACATGCACGAAGGCAACAACTCCCCTCTCCCTCTCATCATCATTGCAATAACCGTGGCACAGGCAAAACAAACAGGTAACACAAAAACAACAACAACATATACAGCATTGAGATGACCAGGCACTTTTCTTACATGCTACTTGTAGCTATACATGGGCGGCACAACCCCAACTGTAAAAAGAAGTCTGCAGAAACGTGCAGCGATAGCAATGCAAACAGAGAGAGTAAAAGAAAAAAAGAACACAGAATTAAGAGAAGAACTAAAAAAAAAAGGAAAAAAAACATGATAACTTCGAGTCAGGAATTTCCCCACCAACCGCACACGTTTCGTTTTCTTCTCAAAAAGACCAGGAAGAGAAGAGCATCAATGATAGCCATGCCACCTAGGCTTTTCGTGGAAGGAGCGCTTCATCCGTGCCAAGCGGCATCGTCTGTTGAAATGACTCCAATATGGCCAAACTTGCATCTGAGAGCACCGCCTTGGCGATAATGCAACCATCAATATCGCTATGGTCCATTCCAATGGTGGAGCCACAGCGGCCACAGAAGTATACCGCATACACCCCCATTCCTTCGACACCGTCTTCGTCTATCATTGGCACCTCCAGCGTGAACTTTCTCAAAAGTTGTGGAAGACTCACCCTTCCGGTGTCGCCGCTTCCTCCTGATTCTTTGGCGGTGTCGGCATTGTCAGCTGTCACCGCGTCGTTCTTCAGCGTGGATGATGGGTTAGTCTTTGTGAGTGCCTGCGCGGCGGAGATGCCAGCCCCCGCAGGGACCTCCGCTGGCACCACTTGGGGTCGTTGTGGGGGTGGGGGCAAGGATGAGTTTGCTGGCGAGATTTCAGTGAAGAACCCCTCAAATGTTATATCCGGTAGGTGCAGCCACTCCACCCCCATCATCGACCCAGAGAACCTTGAGCACGCCACACAATTGCACACAAAGCTGCCAAAGATGGTGGAAGCTAGGCCAGTAAAGCGAACCCCATCGCAAAGACACCCACCGGTGAATAAGGGAACCTCCTCTCTTTCTTCCCCCCTCTCCACCGCTGCTCCCGTTACTGATGCTGCCCCCACTCCCTGGACCGCGGCTGCATCAGCAGTCAGACTACGCGGCGGAGATGACCCCCCCGGTTTCGGTGAGTAGATGTCACAAAATGGTCGGGCATTCACTCCCTCACTCTTTTCACCCCCTCTTACCGGAGAGGCCGCAATTCGTGCTGGCGTCACTGGGGCACCAAGAGGGGGCCACACCTCATCGTAACGCGAAATGCACAGCGAGATGCGATCACCTTCAGCAAAGCCATTGACCCCTTCGGAAGAAATAGGAGTTTTGTTCGGGGGCTTCTGCAAGTCCTCGACGTTAAGCGTAGTACCCATTGCATCTGAGAACTCCTGTCCAACCTCGTCCGGATTAAGCTCTGTTGTCGGGCAAGGAGAGATGGTTGTACGATCCACGCCAGCAGAGGATGTAGCCGCAGACGAATTCGCCCACGGTGTCCCTTTTACGCCGCTAGTCTCACAATTGTTATCTGTCAAAACAGCACTACTAAGAACAGACTCGAGATGATGTGTCATCTCCCGCAGGACGAACGCAAGATCGTCTTTGGGTTCATTGGCGGCAAGCGTGCTGTCATCATTGTCTTCAGCATCGTTCCTAGCCTCCGTTCTGTTGCTAGATTGGTGCTGGTCCTCCAAACTGGTTAACGGTAGAGGTCTCCTTGCTGCTTTAGCAGCGTCAAGGGCAGCGACGCTAGGGGCCGGAATAGATTGATTCTCTGTCTTTGGAATTGCATGGGGGAGTGCTTTGACATTATCGTAAATGGGACGCAACGCCGATGGGATCTTTTGGCTTTGTTCCCCGCCATCTGCATTGGCTTCGACAACGGCAGGTCGTCCGCGAAAGGGGCACACCCCAGCGGGTTGGTAATTCATGGGCTTCCGCATTGCACGTCCCTGCTGCTCCCGTTCATTGATAATGCGTTTTTTGTTTTCATCGTAAATAATAAAAAGATCATGCAGGGGCAGGTTATTAACCGGCTTCTTCTGCGGTTTTCCGGCTGCGTTGGCACCCATAAGTGAAGGGTTGGGCTCCTTCTTCTTGTTTTTATTACCCCCGCCTGCCAAGGGGTGATGGTCGTCCTGCGCAAAGACCTTATTCTCCTTACTGGGCATATGCCTACCCAGTGCATTATAATTCCGGATGTCGTCAGTGTGGTCACTTCCCTCGTTGTTGTTGTTAGCCTTGCTCTTGTCATCCATGTTGCCTTCATTTTGGTTGTAGTTTTGTTTTCCCCGCAGTAGAGCGGGAATGTACCCGAAGGCGTCGCCGATGATTGGCTGGTTTGTGGGCAGCACCCTTTTCAGAGCCTCTTCGTCCTCGCGCTGTTGTTGCAACTGTTGCAGTTGCCCCCGCTGCTTGGCCAGATCCCCCAGCACGCCCCCAAGACGATCCTTGGCCGCATCGAAGGCATTTCCAAGTCTGAAAGGAGACTCATTGTTGCGTTTCGGTGCGCCACCAAGGGGACCAGCCGCTGCAGCAGCAGCAGCCGACGCGATCTCAGCTGAACCACCAGACGGCAACAGTGAGTTCCCACCGGAATCCTTTCCAATTTTGGGGTGCAGTCCGACAGCAGGGCAAATCGGTGGTGGTGGCGTGGCTCCCCCTGAGAGAACACGCCTGTATTCATCCTCGGAGCGTCCGTCCGTAGTGCTGAGCTTCTTAATAATATTCGGAATGGCCCGCAGCAGCACAGGGGAGCGGAGAATCTGCCCCGCGTCAGGGCGTTGTCGCGGGTCCTTTTTCAACATCCACAACACGAGTTCCCAGAGTTCGTCGGAGAAGCCGGCGGGGATGCGGCGTGGTTCCTTGCGGCAAATATCATCCATCAGTCGATTCATCGTTGTCGCCTCAAACGGCAGCCGGCCCGTGGTGCAAATTTCATACAGCAGTACTCCGAGGGCCCAGACGTCGGATCTGTTGTTGTAGGGCTTTCCCTCGCAGAGCTCCGGGGAGAAGTAGCACGGCGTACCGCACATTGTCCGAGCCATGGCAACGGTACTCACCAGTACGGTGCTGATGCCAAAGTCGCCCAACTTCACAACATGATTTTTCGTGAGAAAGACATTTTGAGATTTGATGTCACGGTGCAGCAAACGACGGTCATGCATGTATTTCACTGCCATTGTCGTCTGCACAAAGAGGCTGATCACCTGCTCTTCCGTCAGCCCGCCGCTGCTTCCACCGCCGCCGACACCGCCGCCGCCAAGCGCCCAAACGCTGCTCTTGAGATTTTTCAGATGCGTGTAAACATCACCGCCGTCAGCGTACTCCATCACGATGTACAGGTGTGGGTGCTCCTCGCAAAACTCCACATAACGGATAATGTTTGGGTACTCAAGCTGCTGCAGCACCACAATCTCCTGGTGAGCATCCCTGCGCTGCCGCGACGTCATGTTTGCCATGTTCACATGCTTCACAACGTAGAGCTGCTTGCGTTCGGCATGAAAAACGAGGTATGCATTGCCAAAGCTGCCTTTGCCAAGCTGCCGCACTGCGCTGTATCCAGAGCGCTGCAGTGTAATAGGGAGACGCGGTCGCGGTGGCCCAATGCCAAGGCGCAGATTTAACTCATCCACAGCATTCATTTTCCCTCACCTCCGTCTTTGCTTCACTACTTCCCCCAGAAGCTCCCGCCGCGGCCCCTCAAAGCCTCCTTCAGTGCAGTTGGCTATTAATTTTGCGGGTTTGATTCCTTTGCCTTTACTCCCCCTCTGTCCCAGCAAACGCTCACAAAGTGTGTGTTTGTGAGCGTGTGTATGTGTGTCGCTCTCTGTGTGACAGCTTACAATGCTAATTCCTGCTGAAGCGTCCGCTGCGTAACGGCACCAGTGCAGAATGTCCACGTTTGTTGTCTGTGATGCTTGTTTGCTTCGCTGTCTCTTCTTCCTTCGTAGTGGGCCCCACTACTTACTGAAGTTACGGCTTTGACTGGAGTAATTCAGAAGCAACACACGCAACAACTACACCGTCCTGAAGCAACGGCACAAACAGAGCGAGGAAAATACAGAAAGAGGAAAAAAGGAAAAGAGAGGATAAGCTACCGTCCATACAACCCACAACAACACTGTGCCTACATGCACACACATCTACGCGCAGGTTTCTGCGTGTATGCTTCGCGCACATTCATCACAGACACGTCCTCGGAGCGCCGACACAACGCTGCCGATATGTCAACTTAAAACGTAAAAACGGCGTCCTCCACCACCACAGCCGCCCCAATAATTCCAAACGAGAGAGACCTTGACTGGTGCGGGGACACGGCCAACGGGTAACATCAGGAGAGGCGCGACCACCGAAATGTCGCAGTGGCTTGTCGGGTAGGAAGAAGTAGGCCAACAACGCCAAAAAAACAACGGCTGGAATGTGTAGCCTGTGATGACGCGTAAAACAGGAGAAGGGAAAGAAGAAAAAAAGCCAAACAAAAACGGGGGAACCTTCGTCGTCGTCTTTCTGCTCCCTCCAGCAGTGGAAGCAGCTGTGCTAGCCAGCAGCTTTGCTCATCCTACCGCGGTGTAGCCAGAGACTTTGCCCGTCTCCGCGTCACGTACGACCTGAAGCGGCTTTGCATCCATCCCCGTCCCCGTAGAGAATGGCGGAATGGGCGGGGGTGGTGCAGGGACAGCGGCCAACTGACCGTTGTCCACCAGCGTAATCAGCTGGCCATTCGCCACAGCCCCAGACGCATCGTCCCTGTAAACTTGCACGCCACCGCTTCGATGCACCGGGTCCGTGCCACTCCCACCGGGGGTGGGGGCTGTGGTGAGTGGGCGGATTAGCAACCGTTGCCGCACGGATGGCAAAAAGTACACCGCCTGCTTGTACAAAATAAAATACGCTGCCGCGATGGCTGGTGACCACAGCAACAGATCGCGAATGCCACGAGGAAGGCGCTGTAGGTATTCCCCAAGAGAGTAGAAGCCCTGCTGTCTGTGCGAGTTTTCCCTCGCCGAGGAGGCGGCACCACCCTGCATGTAACACCGACGACAGGATGGCAGCAGCGGCAGCGACAGTTGTCGCGCCCCTGAGCGGGCGCAGGCCGTGGATGGCAAAAGACGCATCAGCGTTTCCCTCCTTCTTTTTGTTCTCCCCCCCCCCCCTCTTGTGTTTCCCTGAGAAAACCAAGTCAATGCTTCCCCCCACAAAAAAAAAAGTAAACGGAGAAAAGCTGCTGGCACCGCACATAGAGGGAGAGAATCAAAAAAAAAAAAAAAACTGTAATGCATTCACACACATGCTCTTTCTTCGTCGTCCGCTTCCTTGTTGGCGTTTTCTTCGTTTCCTTCTCCTTCCTCTTCCCGCCCTCATCCATGCCACTTCTTGTCGCTGACGAACATTGCCGTGCGTCCTTTCTTGCCACCTGTCATCGCCTTGCGCGTCGCTTCCTGCAGCGTGAGAAGGTGTCGCGCAGTCGCTAACGCATTTGTCGCAGAGACCGATGACCCCTTCGATGCGCCATGAATTAAGGCGGCCGCCGTGCGGTCGCACCGTCGCCGCAGCTGTGCACGTTGTCGCTGCTGCAGGCCATGTTCTTCGTTAGCGCGCTGCCGCAGCGCTGCCATCTTCTTCTGCCGTTGATGTCGCTCGCAGCTTTCCATCATGGACGCCTTTGAGAAGCGGTGGCGCTGTTTTGTGCGTGGCTGCCAGTCACCCACGCGGCGCAGACACGAGCCGCCTGTGACACGGTAACTATTGCTAAGGAGTGCTGCAGGAAACCCCGCGGTCCATGTAGTTGGAAGCAATCGGCGCAGCATCGCCCACTAGCAGAAGCTGAGACCGGCGAGGGAACTGTCTCTGCGGTTATCCCCCTCTCTTCCGCCGGCAAGTGTGACGGATCGGTCACCGCACAAAATTCCCCTACGAGTCCCAAAGAATGGCCCACCCACCACAGCCCGGAAAAAAAAAAAGAGAAGGAGGAGACGCAGAGAAGCAGCGAAACCGACACAGAGACACACGCGTGCAAGCCACAGACATAGACACAGATGTGCCCTCCGACTCTGCATGTTTTTTTTTTTGGCGTGGCTGGTCTCTCGCGTCTGAGGGTTGGTGGCGGCAAGCACGTGGTACATCGCAAGCGTACGCACTCCACGACAAGAATCACAAAAACAAAAAAAACAATGCACAAACAAGCGGCTCCAAGCAAGCACGAGGGAGTAAAGAAAAAGGGAGATGAAAACGGAAGTGCACGCAACGACATGCCCGTACACCTCCCCCCCCCCTTCTCGCGTGCGTGGGAGAAAAGAAAAACCAAAAGGAGAAACACACCCAAAAACGGAGCCAATATTGAGAGGTCAAAAAACGTGAGTGGGAAGGGAAGACGTGGGGGAAAATAAATAAAACGGAAGCGGAAGGTGCCACAGGCACGTCCCCACACAGACAGGGATGTTTCTTCCACATGTTTATCACTCCATTTCAATGGCCTCCGTCTCTCCCTTTATTTTCTTTCGTGCATATAAATTCCCAACCCTCCAGCACCCCACCCGACGTTTGGTGCTTTTTGAACCGCTCCTCCTCTCTGTGCACTGACCACTTCCTTTTACCTCGAGTCCAGGTGCTTCGCCGTAACGTACTTGCTTGCTCACACCTTCCGCCACCACAGCCATCCATTTTAGTTTTTTTTTATTGTTTTTTGCGTGTGCCTTTGCTATTCTCTGCTTCTAGCTCCGGCACCTGCCACTATTTATAAATAAATAGCTGGGCACGTATATATCTACATCGCATGCACTTGGCATAACTATGGGCGCCTCAACGAGCTCAACCAAAAAGGCAGGGAGGGCACCACGCAAATCTTTCTCGCGTTCTCTCTCTCTGTGAAGGAGTGTCACTCCACATCACCTCCATCCTCCTCACCGTCCTCGTTCGTTGCGGTTTCTTCTTCCTCTTCTCTATATCTCGCCGCCGCCATTGCCTGCCACTTCTTGCGCTCCACATCGTCTTGATTGGCCCACAATTTCGCAAGTGCTTCATCCGTATCAGTGCCGATGGTGATCAACAGGCGCCGAACGGCAGCTTCGTCCACCTCGCCGTCATCATCCCGCAGACCTTCCTCGTTATTCGGATCTGTTTCATCGTCCTCTGGCATCTCTTCACTGGACGGTGCGTCGTGGCCGTTCTGCTGCAGCAACGTCACCCAGTGGTCACGTGCGTCACGGTAGGCGCTGGCGGTGCGTAGCAAGCGTAACAAGGCGTACAGCATGACACTGTGATTCTTTGCCGCAGCCTCCACGAGGGAGGCCAGTTCCGCTCCGCGTGCAGACGCTGCAGATTCTTCATTTTCAACTTCTTCGTCGGCATCAATGTAGTCTGCAGGGTTTACAGTACTTACATACTCACCGTCATGCATCAGCACACGTAGTATACGGCTCACACGACGTGCCTGACGCGGCTTCGGCTGCTGCAGTGGTTCCCCACCACTCTCCTGTAACAGGTCATCCGCACCACCTTCCTCTTCATCTTGCTTGCCCACGTTTTCTAGTCGCAGTGGTCTATTACGATGGTACGTCGCAACAGGGTTAAAGGCCCGGAGCAGCTGCATAAACGTGAAGGGCTTCACAAGTGCCGACACCTTCGCTGGAGTGTCGGTCTGCTTCGGTGTACTGTCAAAGAAAATGTAGCACCAGCAGCGCAGCACGCGGTACATAATCATTGCAGCGGGGATATGTTCATGGCGCGGCACCGCACTTTTCTCTGCAAGTTCTGCGGCTGCTGCCGAACTCGGGAGCGCCCCTGCAGTGGCAGAGGCAACAAACTCCGCCTCCTCCTTCTCGCGTACTTCCGCTTCAGCCCTGTCAAGCAGATCATACATGCGGTCTTGCTCCACTCGCACCTTCCCACGCTGATCCAGAAGCTCCTTCTTCAACGTCCCGATCAGAGCCTTGCGTATGTGTAGCATGAAACGCTGCGCCTTGTAGAAGTCACGGCGTGTTTCCTCCACAGCAGCAGCAGCGTCCTCGATTGGGACTCCCCCATTAGCTTCATCGCCTCCTTCGACATCAGCCGTACCACCGGTGTCCTCCAAGTCACGTGCTGCACCCCCTGCTCTACTGGCAGCGTCGGCCACCTCTTCCTCGTCGAGGAGTTGTTCCGCCTCCTCTTCGGCCTCTTGGTACGTGGTCCACAGCGCCTCCTCCGACTCTCGCCGCAGTTGTATGGCACGCTTGCACTGACGATAAAAGCGCTGAATGGTGTCAGCAGCACGCTTTTCACGCAATGCGCGTTCGCTCGCCCACATCTGTCGCTGCACCTCAGCCTTCGTCTTGAGCGCGGCAGCGGCATCGCGGCGTTCCTCCTCTTGTAGTACATGTAGGAGGTACAGTGCGAGATACTCCTGCGGGTTACTGGGCTGCGCCAGGACAGTCTCGGCCACCGCATTGGCGAGCACAGGCCCCACGCTGCTCTTTAGATACGCACTCTCAGTCATCTTATTATCCTTACCTCCCTTTAGGTGGAAGGGAAAATCAAAAACAAAAACGGAAAATAAGTAAGCTGGAACAAAGAAATAATAAAACAAAACAAAAATGTGACACACTGCTGAGCAACGCCAATTAGAGCAATCCCCCTTTTCCCCCATCCACTCCCTCACTTTGCATCTCGTACTGTCATGCTTCTGTATATAGTGAGTCATTTCTCTTCTCCCGCCACCACAGCCACCATCATTTTCATTTTGCCTTAGCCTGTGCGTGTGCGTGCGTGCGTGCTTTTTTTTTTTACTCAAGTGGGTGCGGGTGGACGCAGCTACACTGTGCAAATAGCGGAAGATCATCACTAGATAAATAAAAACACATAGATACACACACACACACACACACACATTCCTTCTACAGCGTGAACCTTGAATTCTCCGCAAGAGAAAGTGTGGCTCTCTCACCTCCTTGCAGTTCGACTCCCCGTCACTTCAAGAGGCAGATGAAGACAACAACAGCAGCGGCGTCATGCCAAGAAGAAGGCCCACCATCATGCCAATAGTGCTACCCACCCCTGTGGCGTTCCCAGTTGACGTAGAGGCGCGCTGAGGGGGTGTGAGAGTAGGCGGCCGTGCCAGACCTAGCCGCTGTGACATGCGCTCTGCAAGGCCATGCATTTGAATACCAGCCGTCCCCGACACGACTCCACCAAGCGCTGCTGCCGCCATTGTCGACAACCCAAAGGCCTCCGCGCATCTCTTGTCAATAGTATCACCAACAGTCACTAAAATGGTGTTGTCAAGCATACCAAATGCCACGAACGGCACAGCAGCAGACAACGCAATGCGATGCCACAAACCCCACGAAATGTAACCAGCTGCAGGCACCGTCACCGCCTTCGTCGTTGCAATAGTGGCGGGGGCAGCGGTGGATGACGTAGATGTGGTGGTGTCTTGCACCTTCATCACAGTTGGAGGTGTGTCAAAACGCTTAGCTGCGCGCTCCAGCACCGCCGTGTTCACCCACGCATAATATTCCTGGGAGGAGATATTGTCGTCTTGATCCTTGTCAACGGCCCGAAGCTGCGCTTCAACGGCGTCTTGCCCAAAATACTCCTGCGTGGTGCCAATAATAAGCAGTGCGCGGAGGGCATCACCTGACAATAATGAAAGAAGACGCGGTCCAAACATCGCGTCCTTCTCAAGCAGCACCGCGGTCGCTGCCAATATTTCTTCGCAGTTTTCAAATTCCCCCTCTTGCTGATCGGAGACTGGTATGGAAGATGCTGAGTGCGACGGTTGTGAGGCGGCCGCCGCTGTGGGTGTTCCCTGGTACTTCTGCAGCACCCCCCGCACGCGATGCACCGCCTCCATTAATGTCTCATCGCCGTCAAAGGTTTGACATCCAGCTGCGCCGGTGCCTTTCCTAGCGGACACGTTCACTACTGTCCGATCTGTCCCGCGGGCTGCATGGTGTCCCACCACGTGCTTAGTAGGGGGGTTCCCACTCGCGTTGCCGGTCCTGCTATTGCTACTGTTACCACCACCACCCGCCCTAGGCTTAACTGAGAGCGTCTGCAGCTCCTTCGACAATTTGTTTTGTGAGGTGATGGAAGAGGCAGCGCACGCCACCGTCGCCACCCCCGCTCTCACTGGTAGCATTTTCCTTGATGCTGACGCTGGCGAAAGTGTATGAACCACACACCTCATGCAGGAGCGGTGCAATAACCACATCTCTCTCTCTCTTTAGCTTTCTCACTTTTCTTCCCTCTACCTGTTCAATAATTTTCTCTTTTCCGCTCCCCTACCACTCACGCACGCACAGGTTCAGTCTCTCCCAGAGGACCAAAAAAAAAAAAAAAAAGGAAAGCCGGGAGTCGAGAAGGCCCCACACCGCGCCCTTCTGTTTGTCAAAAGCTAATTATTCCTTTAGATAGCTTTTGCCTCCCCCGCTTCGCCCCACTGGAAATACTAATATGTATGCGGACAATAATGTTGTGGGTATATATATATATATATATATGCCGAAGAAAACAAACACGCCTTTCACCTTGGTTATGCTAATGCGTGGATGCCGTTGCACTCCCAGACGTACATGGACACTCGTCTCACCTAACGCGCGACGACAGCAGTGAAAGGAGGAGGAAGATGAAGCCCAATCGAACGACAGCTAAAAACACAGGAAAAGTGTAGCCCGTGTTCTCTTTCTATGTAGCTATAATTCACTTGTTTGTTTTCTTACTTTCCTCTATGTTCTTCACTCATGAACTAAATCTGAGACTGCAGCAGATAGAAATGAAAAAATAAAAATAAAACGAGAGGGTTGATTCACCAGCAACAGTAACCATACAAGTCAGTCAAGAGTCAGCAGGATGCTGGCGCAGAAAATAGAGAACGCACACTGTCCGTGTGAAGATGAAGTGGGCGGCGGGAACCAGCCAATAAGAGGCCTTGGCCCTGAAGAAGGCCAAATAAAAATATACATCAATACGCATAAATAAATAATAAACAAAAAAAAACACACAAAAACAATAAGCACAACTGCACCGCGTAGATGCATACCGCATGTGTATCAGTCACTGCAGGAGCGCGGACTGTGGCGCGGAAGGCCCGTTACCCGAACACACACAAATAAAAAGGCAGCTGTATTCATAAGCCACACACCGGGCACATTTCGGACGATGCCTAACTGTAAATAAGAAGTTCCCCTATTTCATAATTTGTACGCCCAACCATTGCAAATTGCCCTGGTGCGTATTCGTTCAAGGACCCATGAGCAGACAGCCACAAGACAGACAAGGATAGAGACAAAGAGAGAGGGTTGAGAGAGAAACGTGAATATGCCGCTAAGTGAGAGGCCATGTCCCTCCTCCTATAGTGTGGGAAAGTACAACAGTGAAAGCCAACCGCTTGGCTCAGGAGTGCGCCCCACACACAGAAACACACACATTCCCTTACTTCGGGGAATATCCACCCAACACACAAACAAGCAAAACACAAGCAAATACATATATCGCCCAGGCTTCGATAATCGGGCTCGCATTGCAAACTGGCGAAGTGGCAGTCGTTGAGGCCTCTCAGTCACCGAACCCTTCGCGTGGAAAGTATCCAGTGAGAGTAGGAGGTTAGGGTTGGCCAGATAAAAATAAAATAAAATACTGCAAACAGCACCCTCGCTGCTCTCCCAACGCAATAAGGCACCTGGCGTTTCCTCGTCGTCACGTTGTCACCTCGGCTCACACGCACACACAAAGGGGATTAAAAACTTAAAAAGAGACGCAGCCGCCAAAGCAGAAGCAGACGCAAAGAAAACACAAAACCCCTTTACAATGCAGCACTTGACACCACCCGTCCATTAAGCTATGTTTTTCACGTATTTATTCTCTTTTTTGTTTTGTTTTTTGACCCATGGCGCATTCATTATTGCACCCAATCCCTATATATTATATATGCCGGTCCCAATACGGAGACTGTTGTCGTTGGTGTTTTCATTACTAGAACTGCCCGCCTGCCCGCACCTCTTTTCGGCTCGTTCCTTGCGTGCTACATCACATCTGGTGGAGGTCAGCGGAGGCAGCACCCCAGTGCGAAGAATGCCTTCAGCACCGGCAACGTGGCGTCTTTTGGGATCTTGTCTTGCATCTGCGAGGAGGACGCCTGCAGACAGCGAAGATGTGACAAATTTCCCTCATCCCCTGTTGAGTTAGGTGATGGGGGACGCGTTGGCTGACAAATCTGGGGAAGGTAATAGAGACGACTATTCATGGAGTTTGCACTCCCACACCTCTTCTCTCTACCCACACAAGCAATAGACGAGACAGATACGGTGTTTTTTTTTGTTTTTTTTTCTCCTTTGCGTTCCTACCGTCGAGGAAAGACGGTTTGCACACGACTGTTTATTCTGCTTCTTCGCCGCAATTTAAATTTCGAAACGTGTCTCAGGCATGAAAATGGCAAAGCCAATAAGCCGAATCCGGGCAGCTCGCTTCATCGCTCCGTAGGCTTTGACTTCTCTCAGCTGTTTGAATGCGTGGCTCTCCATTGGAAGACGGTAGCTTCATCGGTGGCTTCCTGAAGCGCCTCCGGGCGGGTTTCATGCGCCGCTCCGGTGTCTTGTGGCAAACATTTTTGTCCTCTTTAGCGTTATTTGAAGAATGAAGGTAACAACCTTCTGTGGGTTTGTCCAGGACTGAGGCAGTGGCCAAAGCCTTTGAAAGTGGACTGCACCAAGCTCCTCCGCTTTGCATGGGATCGGCAGACCCAAAATTCCTCTTGGAGGTGACACCATTCGTAACTGTCTCCTTTTCTCCAAAATGAAAGAAAGGAGGCAGCGGGGAATCTGCACCGCTAGCTGCACCCCCACCCCGAAGCGTGCAGCGACGATTGAGGCTCTGCCACTTTTCCATGATATCGTTGAGAAGCGCTGCAGGGTCGGCGGCCTCAAGTGTTCGAAGCTTCCTCCTCTGGCTTTTATCCCCCACCTGGAGCGTTTGCTTCACTATCCGTTGTGACGCATCATATCTTGCTAGCGGCTGCCGTTGCTGTTGTTGGGGAAGCTTCTGGCGAGATTCCGTGGAGAATGGCTGTATCTTTTCCAACACCCCAACACAGCAGCAGCGGTAGGAGAAATGAAAAACAAAAATTTCTTGGGTACGTCGTTAGCTGGCACTGGCCCTCTTCTTTTGTCTTCACACGGGGTTTCACCTATTTTTGCCTTTGTCGTGGCCGTCATCAGTGTTAAGCTGTGTTGATAGCGTTGCCGCATCCTGAAGACGAAGACTCACCTCCTGAGATACGATCAACACTGCCTGCAGTGCTTCAGCAACCTTCCTGGAGGCAGCCAAAATCCTCACCGCGTTCTCCCCCCAGCGACTCAGCTGTTGTTGCGACCGCCGCCGTACCGTCGTGGGGTTTTCTGAGGCTGCCCCCCTCCCCTCCCCCCCCCCCCCCCCCACGAACAGGCGAGGTGCTTCTCACCACAGGCCTGGTCGCATCCTCTCTTTCATGTTCTGTTTGTAGAGCCTCCACAACGCGGCGCGGCGCCTCATCCCATAGCAACGTCCCCACATCTCTCTCTACACCATCACCATCATCGCTGCCAAATAACGCAAAAGGTGCTACTAGGAGCCGCCACAGACGCCTCTGACGTGGATGGAAATAATTTTAACAGTGACGAGGCATTTCCTTTCCTTGCCACGCCCACATTTGAGGCCTCAGAAACCGCTGTCCGCCCAGCAACTCCTGGGTAATGGAGGGAGGCTCACACTCCCCGCATGTGCGTGAACGAGGTTTGCCCGGACTTGGGGGAAGCGGCGACTTCCCCGTCGCCCGTGAGAAGCACGGTTCCGCGGCGCTTCTCACAAGTGTCTCCGCCCAAACTCCTCACCTAGCGGCCGCTAGGCGGGCGTGATTGCATTCCTTGAAATTTCTCCTCGTAGGGGGCCCTGACTGCTCGTGCGGGGTTTCCGCTCTCTGACCGAAAACGTTTCGCTCCTTTCCACTCACAGAGGTCGTTGGAACTACGCCAGTGCGGCCGTGGAGATTGCAGCCGCCAGCACATCTAATTGTGTCCGTTTGAGAAAAGTGACTGAAACCGATGGTAGCGTCGGTCCAGGGCGACGACAGGCCCTCCGTGTATTCACCTCTAACTAGTAACATATCACACGCCAGCGATGCAGCACCACCAGCTGCTCCAAATGAAATGGGTAGAAACAGCGATTCACGGCTCGGTGTGTTCGTCGTCTCGGACTCCTCCTCGAAGTTGTACTCGGATGGCGTCTCCGTCCCATACGCCGAGTCCAAAGTGGTTAACAAAACTTCAGAGAATGATGACGCAGATGCGGACCTCGACCCCACTACGATATCAGGGCTCTGGTGTTGGAGCCGTTGCGCAGCACTTTTGAAATGCAGATCCGCACGCTACTGCTGCTGGTGCGGCGTGGCTACTGGCGGGTGCATTTCTGTCAATTAATACAAAGGGCACACACAAATGAACGATCATGATGTATGCGTGGGGTTCCTTTTGGTTTCGTTCATTGTTGTTGTTTTCCCCCTTTTTTTTTGTTTCCTTTTGTCTTGAACCCTCCATCTTTCTTCGCCCTTCCCTGTACCTTCTTACGGTAAGAAAGAAGGAACGAAATATAAAGAGAGACAAAGAGGGCAAGACCCTGACGCGCCCAGCCACTCTTGCTCTCCTGCCCCACCAATGCCGCACTACCGCCACCCCTGCTTTTTTTTTTGCCTTCTTCTTTTCCCGCTCACTTTTTCTGCGGCCCCTTGCGTGTGATGCGCTCCTGAAAGCCGCTCTGACCACACCTACACATACGCGCACGAAAGCAGATAAACGGAAGAGAAGTGAAAAAGGCAGATACCAAACAGCAACACCCAAAAGCATTAATCATGCGCGTAAACGCACTCACCCCGCTGCACGCACACATGCATGCAAATAAATGTATAAAAACTTACACAGGACCTCTCGTTAGCAGCTCCGCACGGGATGCCGTGTCACATTGAGTTCGTTGTGCATCCGCCTAAAAAAGATTCAGGTCCTTCCACTCCTTCCGCTGCCGCTCCAGCTCTGTGGCGATTTCAGCTTGCTCCTTTGTCTCCCGCTCCACGCGCTGTTTCTTGCGTGCCGCTTCCTCCGCCAGCCGTGCGGCCTCCAACTGCTGCTCCACAAGCTGCTCACGGCGTCGACGCCGCGTCCGCTCCTCTCTTGACAAGTTCGCCTCATCTGTCGGGTCAACACTACTGCCGCCGCCGCCGCACCCAGCAACAGGGCCTAAACTCGCCTGCCGCTGCGCCGCCGCCTCCTCTTCCCTCTCCTTCTTCTTCCTGTGAGCAATCTTCAGCCGCACGAGGATGGCCTCGTTGCTCAGTAGCTTGTGTGCATTTTCGGCGACGTGGAAGGCGTCGGCGGCCTTCGCAAGGGTGCACTTGTCGGGGTGGACCTTCAGCACAATCTTCCGGAAGTTACGGTTGATGTCAGACAACTCACAAGACTGCGCATCAAGTCGCAAAATGGCGAAGGCGTCGGCCTTTGAGGCGGCGCAGTGCAGTAACCGCCGAATTTCCTCCGCCTGCTCCTCCTCTCCGCCCATCTGCGCAGCAACGCCCTGCGCCACGACAAATGGTCCCCCTCCTCCTTTACACCCTGCCTACAGCGGAGGCCAAAACCAGCCAATTAAAGAGTGCAAGGGAGAATACACACACACACACGCACAGAGAGACGGAATCGCCTACAGCTTCTCTCTCCCTAGCAGAAGAAGAGAAAAGTGAAACCGGAGAAGTCATTTCTTAGTATAACCACAGACAATTGTGAGCGTACAACCCAATGCGGAGTCTCAAGCGGCACTGCACAAACAATAATACTAATAAATTATAATCCCCAAAACACTGGATTTCAAAAACGTACCCTTCCGCGTCACCTCAACAGTCACCACTGGGAGGAGGAGGCCACTGCAGGGGCATTTTAACAAAAATAAAAAATAAAAAATAAAAAAACGACAATGCATGTGACTGGCGTGGGAGTTAGACCCACTTTTCTCCTCTTTTTTGTGGTAGTGGTGGTAGTGGTGGACTTTTAAAGGAGGTTCACCGAGATGAATATTTGTTTGAGAATATGTGGCAACGCCTGCGTGTCGAAGCACTCAAAGCCGTGACCAGGCAGCATCTCCGCCTGTAAGTTTTCCGCCTGCTCCCCCAGCGTCGCAATGAAGATGCAAAACATCTGCACCTCTCGGTGGCTCCGCATAATTGCGCCCAGTTCACGCGGACTGATGCCGTACCGCGCCAAATTCGCATCGCTGATAACAAACACCAAATAGGCGTCCCCCTTTTCCGCTGTGACAAGATCCACGCTTTGCCGCATCGCCTCCACTGTGTTGTCGCCCGACCAGCAGTACTGTGCGTGGGCCACCATGCGCTGGCACACTTCCATTCGCGCCTTCTGATTGGCAAATGGGTGGCCAAAGGGGACCAGCTCAATACATGCGCTGTCGCCGTTGTGGCCCACCATTGCGTAGTCAATTTTGTCCTCAAACCCGGCAAACGCCTCCATAACCATCACGGTAGATTCCAACAGCTTGGTCAAGCGATGATCCATTCCCTCAAAGCGGTACATGCTGGCACTTACATCCAGCACGAACAGCAGACGCTTCTTGTGCTTCGACTGGAACGGGTTCGTTTCAGTCGAGTCAGCCCGTCGCCTGTAGATGTTACGCTCACCAACGATGCCTTCCACAATCTTGCTGTCATCCCAGACGCCATCCGTCTGACCGCGCAGCCAGGTGCGCTCACCCTCCGCAGCCTTCAAGCCACTCAGCAGACTTCGCAACAAAGCGACCGGGGCCCGCACACGCTCCTGGAGAGACCTGTACTGCTCGTACTCCCTCGCACTCATTCCAATGTCTCGCAGTCGCTCCTCTAGAGCGGCCTTTCCCATGCGTTTTGCCTCTTCAATAATGCGAGGTGACACCCGTTGTTTTTCCTCCGGTGAAACCTGGTGCACCGGCCAACCCTTGTCAAGACGGTAGGGCCCAACAAGGCCGCCAAGTCCCGCAGTATCCGTGCCGCCAGTACCTCCAGCGTAGGTGTTGCCGCCGTGGTGCTCTTCGTTATCATCCTTGCCGTGTTTTAGCGTACCAGAGGGCTTCTTTCGCGGAGTAGTGTACGTCATCGACAGTGACTGCCTTGGCGTGGAGGCGGCGGCCCCGATTTGGTTGACGGAACCCTCAAGCAAGGCGGACCAGTTGCGGTAGCGTTGCTGCACACGCTCCTCCACAACGTCGGCAACTAACACACGCTGGGTAGCGTTGTCGTACCACAGTGCCACCCCTGCGCCTTCGTCCAACGCCAACAAGGAGTTACCAGCAGCTTGCAACTGCGAGGATGCGGCGGAGGGTGCTGCCGTGAATGGGGAAGAAAAACAACGCACCGTGCGCTGATGAAAGTCTACTGCAACGATCCTGCCCCTATGCTTGGCCGAAGACGTCTCAGTCGCCAGTAGCTGGTGATGAGAATGATTGACATGCAGCGAGCCGGCACCAACAGCGGCTGCGGCGTCGGTATCAGTGTATACACGCATTAACCACGTTTGCTTTTCTGGTGAATATTCTTCCACCGTCATGTAAACAGCATCTCCACGGCTTGCTCCGCTACCGCTTGGCACAATAACAGCCCCCTTCAGCTCATCCGGTGTGAGAGGTTGCAGCAGCGCCTGGTTAGACAAAGACGCTGGAGCGTGATTGCCCACAAACCCAACGATGTCCCCGGCGATGCTGTTTGGAAGCTGACAGAGGCTCGCCTTTGCCTCCCCATCCGCGGAGACAGCCACCTTCAGCACACACTTAAGGACGGTTTCTCCGACCTGCAGGGACACCATAGCCAGATTGTCGGTCACGAACTGCACGGTGTCGATGCTCACCGCGGGAAGTTTGACGGCGATGCGGCGAGCGTTCATCCAGACAAACAACTCCGCACTGCGTGCTCGCGTCATGGCGACAACACTGCCCATCGGCCGGACGGAGGCGCAGCACGACGACGCCTCGGGGAAAGGCGGTGCAAGTCGGACGGGCAACACAGCCCCACAAGTACATTCCTCCGGCGCTGCGTGTTGCTGCGGGGCAACGTGGGATGAGGGGGCCGCAGCGGTCAACGTGTTAATCAACAACACAAAACCTGATGGTGCGTCAACCACGGCCACAAGTGGGGCTGGGACGCCGAAGGCGTCGTGCAGCCAGCCAGCCGGTGCCACAGCCGCGAGCGAGGTGCTGTGAGACTCTGCATTGAAGACCAGTAGCATTGGTGCCGAGACTGAGAAAGCCGATAAAGCAGCAACTGCAGGCAAAAACCGTGTCAGGTCGAAGAACTGAATCTGGCCCGGCGGAAGATGTGAACGGCGCACCGCCGCCATCCCTAGAGAGACGACAGACTGCGGCGCCACAATAGCAACAACAACGCGTTTACTGCCACTGTTTTTATGATTTGCGTCACTGGGGTCCTCTTCACGTAGAAAGAGAACGGCGAGGGTGACGAGGGCTCCCGTCCCAACGTCCGTGTCCATCGGCGTGATGGCCAACACGATGTCTCCTGCGCGCAAAAATGGAAGACGTGGGGCCGACAGCCATTCCGTAAAACCTTTCGATTCGCCACTCGGCACAGTGGCGGCAAACTCCGCCTCTCTGTAGCGCTCGCACCACGTGGATACAAATTGCACAGAGCATGGCCCACCACACTCTGCATCAGTGAGAAAACGCACAGGAAGCGATGCCGTGTCTCCCACGGCCGACGTTGTTGGCAGAGCCTGTGACACCGAAGGCACCTCCAGAGGCTGCTGCAAGACCTGCAGCGGCAATGGCTGCCCAGCGCGTAGCGGCAGGAGGCGTTGCATGCCGCCTGCGCTCATAAGCGGATGAAGGTGAAGGTGCAACACCTGACGGACGAGATGCAGAGTATTTTCGTTGCGTGCATCAAAGTTGAATACGTTATTGAGGGCATCGTAAATGCCATCGTGTGGAAACGCCGCCATGTGCTTCACCACCGCGATCAACTCACGCAGGGAGAAGGGATATGTGAGGTGCCCCTCCTCAAAGCTCTTCTGTAGACGCTGAAATGCCCCAATGAGTCGCACCAGCACCGCCTCGGGGATGTTTGGCGCGTACGCCTTCAGCAAACGCAGCTGCGAAATTGCGTCTGGGTTGCCCATCACGTACGACGCGAACAAATCACCGCACTCTCGGTAGAAGTCGTTGCCGTGGAACGGAAACCCTGGCGGATTCGCAAGGACGATGATTCGAAAGTCTGGATGCATAGTGATGATATTTGCCCCTTCGAGGGCGTCGCGGTCAGCGGCCACGGCATGTGCCCGTGGACCGCGTATCTGTCGTCCATCGCGAAGGTGCATCTCGTGATCCTCCACAAGTCCCTTCAGTACCTGCACCACCTCCACCGGTGCCTTGTCAATCTCGTCCACGACGAGACAGTGCCCACGCTGCACTGCCTTTACCAACGGTGAGTCCGACCAGACGACGCGGCCAGCCTCAACGGTCGGATTGATTGTGAGGGTGCCGACAGTTGTGTCCCTGTGGAGTTGAATGTACTGTCGCGGCACCCCTATGCGGGCGAGGAAGGCGTCCACCACCTTGTTCTTCCCAACACCCTGATTCCCAATCAACAAGATGTTATTTCCCACAGCGTACTGCTTTGCGAGCCAGGCAATGATAGACTCGTGCACAGGATTGGAGTGGAAGTGGGTAACATACGGCACCATTGCCTGTTCCTCTTCCGAATACACACGATTGCTACAAAAAATGGGCTTGCCATGCACCCCAAACACACGCGCAGGCACGCGACCGTTAACATCGGTGATCATGTTGAGAGTATTTGAGACTTTGAGCTCCACGAGAACATCGTGGCGTTTACTTCGACGGCCCTCCAAATCCGCCTCTGTTTCTGCAGTATTTCGTGCCTGATGGTAAGGATGTTGTTGTCGTTGTTGTTCTGGCTTGTGACGGCTCACGTCATCAAATCCACAGGAGCACATCACCTGCCTCACCTGCTCGGCTGTCAGTGCATTCATAAGTGGAAGCAGTAATGCGGACTCCACGCCGGGTGTGAAATCCTCTGGGTAGCGCACACGAAACCGGATTAAATGAAGAAGCTGCCGAAGACTCAGCTGCGGGACTTTGGGCTCGGTCTCCTGCAGACGCTCTAGCGCATCGCATAGACGCAGGAGTCTATCAATGTCACGAGTTACAGCCTCTAATGTCACTTCGGAAATCGTGTTATTGTCCTCCTCAGCAAGTACGCCCATTTGTTTTCGCCATTCCTGCAGTTCAGTCGTCGCTACGCGTAATAGGACGGCATGCAGAGTCATCCGCGTGGTGGCTGGTATTATCACAACCCCAAACAAAGAGGTCACTTCGTGAGTGACTCTCCAAGAGCCCTGGCTTACCTTGCCGCAGCTGCCGGCGGAGGCTTTGTAACGCGCGGTTGCCACAACACGAAAGGAGGGATGCACCGAAAAAATCTGCCGTGCTCGCATTTCCTCGTCTGTCGCCATCAACTCTCGCTTGAGTATCTCGTACTCCCGCTGAGACCTGAGCAATGTGCCATCGTAGAGGCTCATGCTCCCGTCAACGAGAAGCTGCTGCAGGGATGACAGCATTCCACTTGGTAGTTTGTCGATGCCGTCAAGAACAGCAATGTGACCGCTCAACGCGGCCTCCACAAGTGGACTGTTTTCCCATAGGGTGTCCCCTGCCGAGGAGTCCGTTGTGCGGCGCTGGAAGAGGTCCTTGTTGGTCATGTCGGCGTACAAGTACATCGTCTCCGTGCGATACCCCACCAAATTGGCAAACTCGCGAAGAATAGTCGTTTTCCCACAGCCATTAGGCCCAAGCAGCAGAATATGCTGCCCTGCAATGTGCAACTGCAGCATAGACTGCAACACGTGATAGTGCGCCGGAGTAAACACACTGCGGGGCGTGGGGCAGCGCTCAGCCACGACGATTCCCTTTGCCGCTTCTTCCTGTGTTGCGGGCACGGCGGACCCACCCATATAAATAGGAAGGCGATAGGTGCCGCCGTCGTTGCTGCATGCAATACACGCGTCCCCCACCACAGTATTGCGGCTGTATTCCACGACACGAATATTCTCAACCTGTAGCACATCATTGAACTCCTCTGGAGAACGATCCACCTCAGTACTTCTCTCACTGCCGCTACAATTACTGCGACGGTGTCGAAAAGTCATATCTCCACGCTTAATTTGACGCATTTTTCCTTTCTCTCTTGTCAAGGAAAAGTCCCTTGAGGGGCGGCAGCTCGTGGCACATTCATCCACTGTACCAAAGTTATCTCGGTTTGCATCGGTAGAACCATGGCGGTATTCATACAGTGGAGCGCCAATATGACACGCAGCAAGCACGCGTTCATACTCGCGCCTGCGACGCGTGGCTTCCTCGATGTGTGCGGCGCCCGCAGTTGCGGTCTGCTGCGCGTACAGCATCCACGGAAATGCGCGTGGCAGGAGTTCGCCAACAGGAATATCGGGGAATAATTGCAGCTGCCTTGACAACATCGCAAGCTCGTAGCTGCCAATAGTCTGTAATCCACAATGAGCCATTGCCGCCCCGCCACCTCCACCTCCACCTCCACCGCCGTTATTTATCTGGGGATTGTTACTGGTTTTACCGCGACTGCCGCTCGCCTGCTTTCCACCAACTATAAAATCCTTCGTGTTCGTATTCACCTCGTCAATAATGGCGCGAAGCTTTAGCAAAGACTCTGTCGCATCTGCGCCACGCCCACCCCTCACTGCTGTAGCGGCAGTCACCCCCCCTTGCGTCGCCGCCAGACCAGGCAGTGGAATGTCGACATAGAGGCATTGGAAGCGTGAACGCAGTGGGGGGTCGAGTGGGTTGCCCTCGTACGGTGGTACAGGAACCGTGAGACCCACAACACGAAAGTTCTCTGAGACACGAATGAAGCCCATCCGGCGTAGCTCCTCCTGTGCCGCTGCGTGTCTCATGGCACCGTCAGCATCCCTGCCATGGCCTTCGCTGCCGCCATGCTCGTATCGGCCTCGCTTTGCCGTAAGGAGTTCCTGCAGCAGCCGGTCATATCGCTCGGGGTGGATGAGCATCATGCCATTTTCAAGGTGCATCTCACGGTTCTCCAGAAGGTTATTGATTACCGGCAGCACGTTACGCTCCACCTTTTCAAGACCCTCCAAGAGCAGAAGTTGTCCCTCACGGGCTGCCACCACAACGCACTGGTCATTGTAGACAAGTGTGCCATTACGTATCTCGCGGCGCTGGCCGAGATCGCTCTCCGTTGTGTCGCGATTAAGCGAAAGGTACTGTACCTCGCGCCGCACAAGGTAGGAGTACATTTGCACCAGCCACCGCAGCGCAGGGCCGGGCTCTCCAACAAGGCACATGTCCTGCCGGAGCTGCTCCTTCTGGCACATCCAGCGCAAGTAGCTAAGCGTCGTGGGGTCCTGCATCTGAAAGAAGGCATTGCCGCCATGCAGCTGTAACCCGCGGTCGCCAAAGTCACTGGTGGCTATGTCGTCACGAGCGTCGGTCTTATTCGCGCCATTCCCGCACGTTGCAGCGCCGGGAAGGAGCCAATTCACATGCTCCGGGTGATGGAGTTTCGTTGGCACAGGCACTGTGACGTCCCCGATGGTGAGCAGGAGGCCATCACTGCTGCTGCCTCTGCCCTGGGCGAAGAGGGGCGAGCGGGTAAACGGCGGTGCTGACCCGACCATCGTGTGGTGTACCAGCATGCCTATGATAGTTTGTTGGCGATGCCTAAACATGAACGTAATAATACTTTTATGCATCCGCGTACGTTTCCATTTGCAAAACGATTACACACAAATAATAAGAGGAACAGGCAAAAACAAAAAAAAACATAAACACATGGCGGCAGCTCACTGCAAAGAAAAAAAAAGCGCTCCTGCCCTTGCCCAATGAAACCTCTACATCCACACCCATGCCTACACCTACAAGCGCAAAGGTCACTACGATAATTCATATTAGTCATGCAAATGGGAAATCCTCATCATGGTGGGTCAGTTCCCACACGCGCTGGATCTCCAACACTGCCTCCTCCGCCTCCGTTACACTGAAAAAGCCGAGCGTGAGCGTCACCGCTTTATTGGGCTCAGCTACAGAATTCACATACGCCGGGCCCCAACACATGCGCGGATCGTCGTGCTGCGGTCCGCCATGTTGCTGATGTCCAGTGCACACAATGACACCCGTCTGGGAGTTGAAGGAAATAGATTCCAACGCGGCGACGGTAAACCACCGCGAGTGCATCTCACTATGATGAAGCGGCAGTTCCACCGCCAGCAACTTGGCATCGTACCTAGGGACAAAATAGAGACGTTCCGTGGAGAGCACAAGTTGACAAAGAAGTGGTTGCTCTTGCTTTGCCGTCCCGTCTGCAGTAGAAGTGGTCATACTAGGGAACTCCATGGCGTAGATTTGATACTGAAACACTTCTGGCTCCTCGATGAGGCTGGCCTCAAGCCGCTCATGCCAGTAATTCATCTGCGCCTCACGGAAGACGCAACACCATTCCTGCTCCAAGAATGGGGAGCCTTCACTGGAAATATACAGCGCCTTCGCGGACTGCCGCGGCCGCGCAAGACCGACGTGAAACTCCCGCACTCGCAGACTGCCAGGAGTACCGTCGGATGCTGTCACTTTCACATCCGTGAACACGTCGTCCACGCAGCGGCACTGCACCTCCTTCATGTATCGCTGCAACAAGGTGCGCTGCGAGGACGGTTTAGGTCCCTTCTGTGTGCTGAAGTATTCAATGACAAAACCGTGGCAGTTGGCGCCAGCTTCATTGCGCTCAGCGGCCCACGCACGCGAGGGGTGATTGTACAGCGGGACTACCGCCCGAATCTGCCCGAGGCTCTCACGCCACATCATCTCTGGTGGTGGTGTACTACAGGCGTCTCCCCTTCTCCACTTTTGTTGTCGTTGTGCCTCCTCCTCCTCTTCCCCTCTCTTGTTATCCTCTGACCTTGTCGACAAGAAAGAGGAAGGAGATGGTGGAGGCGGGTGGCGCAGCCGTATCTTGTAGAGATTTTTAGAGGAGAGCACCAGCTGCACGTCGTACCCATCCGGAAAGAAATCCAACTCCCGGCCATCGCTCCCAACTTTGTGCCGCACAACGGTACTGCTGGTGATGTACACGTCGCCGTGTGGCTCAAGGATATGCGCAATGTCCCATCCACCCATTTCTCACAAACCACGCCGTCCGCTGCTACTCTCACTAGTCGATGCCGTCGTGCGGTCTGTGACGAAAGGCAGCAAGGGGAGTGGATAGAACGCAACTGTGCAGCGGCGTGTCACCCAGCGGCAAGCAGGGACAGAACATGGGAGAGAGAGCAATAAAGAAGGAGACGACAAAAGAAAACAACAAACACGCAGAAGGGGAACACAAAACGAAAGCAGACAGTCAAATACGAGGGAAACTAACACCACGTTTTGTTATTGCGGTCCGTTTGCCTCCTCGTGGATGGACAACACACGGGAAATAAGCCGATCGCACCATCTTTCATGCCTTTCTAAGAGTATGCCGTCCTCCGGCAGCAGCGCGGCCCCCTCAATGCTCTGTGTGGGAGAAGCAGACGCTGTTTCACACAACGCCTCCGCTTTCTTTACCTCCCCCTCAACCCCATGCAGCTGTTCCTCCACTTGTTGCTGTTTTATTTCATGCTGTTGACGTGCAGTACGGCGGCGAAGGTCCTGCCACGTCTTCGGCACCTGACGCGCCGCGTAACGCACGACGTCTGCGTCATTGGCCGGGTACCGAAGCGCGTGGGCAACAGCAGTGACACCCTGCGCCACCGCCACCGGTAAGTAGCCACCCTCCAGGACAACCACGAGACCAGCGTGCAATTCCCGCACCTTCCGCTGCTGTGGCTGTGAGCGGCAAAACTGCTTTAATGCCCGCACTGCGTATGCGAATCCGCCCTCAACGGCCATTCGTCCGAGTGGATCGCCGTAGGCGGCGTCAAATCCCAATGAGAGCAACACAACATCCGGGCAGAAGCGACACAGGCGTGGAAGAAGGACATCGTCCACCACGCGCTCAAACACGGCATCACTCACAACCTCTTCGCAGCACGCTGGGTCGTTAGCCGCGGTATTAACGGCAACGTTGCACACGTTGCGGTAGCGCCCCACATATGCGGTGTCACCACGGGGGTCCGCGGGGTAGAAAGTGCCATGGTCGTAGCGGTGCAGTGAGAAATATAGCAGGGGTGAGACGGTGTTTGCGTCGCACAGTGGCGGCGGCTCCTCCTCCACAAACGACTGTGTTCCCTCACCATGATGTACGTCAAGATCAACGATTGCTATGCGTGGCGACGCTGACAATGTTCCGTCACCACGACCCTTGTTATCGTCGCGCCAATCTTTCAGGAGCTGACGTGCCGCGATGGCGACGTTGTTTGCAAGACAGAACCCGCCCGGTGTGTCAACTGTGCAGTGATGACCAGGTGGACGCACAAGACAAAAGGCAAACGAAGGCGTCCCAGCAAGCGCGCAACGCGCCGCATCAATCACGGCGCCGACAGCAAGGCGAGTGGCCACACTGCTTGTCATGTCGTTGCAGTAGACATCTGTTTTGAGCAGTGGGGTGAGTGCTGTGCCGTGCTCGACGAAGCCACGGTACCGCGATGTATCGTGGCACAAGGCGATTTCCTCAAGTGTGGCCAGCCGGGGCGGGAGCCAACACGAAGGTGGAACCACCTCACTCGTGGAAGTTTTATTTGCATCGTCCAACCTGGCTCGCGGCGTTGTAGCAGCTTCCTCTTCCTCTGGGAAGAGCAGTTCTTCCGGTAGCAACTCGTTAGCACGTGGGGTTGACTTTAGACACTCAACGGCCCGCTGCAAGCGGTATGGCGTCTCTGGTATACGATCCACGGGCGGCACATGGAGCAGCATGCGTGGGTCGTACGCCCAGGCCACCGATGCGTCTGGTGGCTGAAGCAAGGACCTTTCAGTGCCACCATCGTCATTGTTGCCGTCGTTCGCGTCATTCTCGACTACAGCGCCCGCGAGAAACACCTCCGCCCCAGCTTGCAGTTTGCCGAAAATTGCGAGCCCCTGCGCATCCACCAACCCCTCCAACCTTGCGGCATCCACGCCAACACGGGCTGCCACCGCGGCAATCGGCTCCAGAAGATCACCACTGCGAATGGTGGCTGTTGTGCTCCGCTGTGGTGCCACAAAGCGCCGCACTGTGACTTCACCGTCAAGGCGAGCTCCAAACCCCTGCATCCGCCGCAGCCGCTGTTGCTTCATTCCTAGTTTCCTTCCGTATGTGTTACGCCTGCGTGCTCATCTGGAAGATCAACGCGGCAGAAAGGCAGCAACTGGGCACCAACACCACCAGCAGCAGAAAAAATTATTCCACGACACAACCACACACTACATGAATCCTGCGGGCACGAATGTGACACGCCGCGTGAAACTCCATCGATACTCAACCTCGGGCCGTACACGAACAATAAAAAAACAAACAGAAATAAACCCAATATATATATATATGATAATAAACGGTAACTCCCAACACGTACATCACAACAGAGCGATAAAACAATGCAGGGCTATTTTTGTTAGTATCCCCCCCCCCCCACACACACACACACGCATAGAACAAAAAAAAAGCCAGCAACATGACGTCTTCATTGTGCGCATATGTTGCCACGCAGGACCGCCTCCAATTGGGCAAGCAACACATTGTTCACGGCACTACCGGCGCAAGGTGTCCCGCTCCGTCAAAAACGCCGCAGCTAGCTGCCACTCCTGTTCCAGCTATTTCTTAAGATCGGAGCACCGACGTGCAATCTGCCTGCACCACGGGCTCCGATGCCTCTATGGCAGGAGCAGAAGCTACAGCAATATTCTTTGCTGAAGCCCCCATGGCGGCAATGAGAGGCATCGCCGCCGTTTCAGATGTAGCGTTAACCGACGTCACTGGACAGCGGGTGATGGCGAAGCAAACGTGATCATGCCACAGCATTAACTCCTGTCGCCGTTCAATGCTTTCCCGCCGCACACGCTCCAGCGCACGGCATTTGGTCTCACGGCACTTGCGCGTCCACCTGCAGTAGCAGCGCTGGACAAGCGACACAAAGGCATATCGACCCAAGACCGCTACAGCCGCAGCTGTCTGAGCCCTCGCGCGCGCTAAACCCTCTTCCAGATCACAAAGTTCAAGAGCAATCAGCCGTGTTTTTGCGGTGTGCTCCTCCGCCCGGCACTTGGCCAATAACAAGGACCGCTCCAGAGCGGCTGCGAGTTTCAGGGCTTGATGCTCTGTTGCAGTTGATTTTAATACGTCGCCTTGCAGCTTCGTCAAACGGATGTTCGCTGCACGCTCCAGCGCGGCATATTTCTCCTTCGCACACAGAAAATCCTTGGCAGCCGCCTCACGGGTCTCCTGTAGCGCACTTATTGCCTCACTCAGGCGTGCCTTTAAGGCCTCTGAGTGCAGCCTATTTTCGATATCCCCGCAGTCCACCTCAAGGGCCGTCAAACATCGAAAACCAATTCTGCGCCTTCGCCTTTTTAGACCCCAGTGCCGGAACACTGACCGAAAGGCACGAGGACCACAACGACTTCTTTCAAGCTGCCGTTGTTCCAACATTAGAGTTTCTACCTCATTTCGATCTCTCCAAACCGTTGTGTTTCCGGAGGGGGAAGCGGCAACGTCCCATTTCTCATTCAAGATGTTGGGCCCAAAATACCCATGGCGTTCAGTAGCGGCATTCATCACCTCTGAGTGACACGCAAAGCAAAGTTCACACAGTTGCAAACTCTCTTCTATCACCAGCGCCATGCGGAATGTGTACTCTTCAGCCTTCAACTCCTGTATGGCACAAATTTCACCAAAAAAAGTGGTGAAACCATGGTGCATGCACCCAGAAAACGTTGTAGGCTTCTCAGCTTCACTCAGGCCTCTCAGCGCCCTTTCTGAAGCTGTTGGGCTCTGATTGTTGGCAAGCAGCATATTCCTCCCCTCATCTTCCTCAACGGCTGCCTGTGAATCACCTTCGCTTTGCTCCTCTTTTGCAGCAAGAATAGCGCTATTTGAAGTTGTTATGCGGTCCTCCTCATCGTCAACAGTCATCGATCCTGTCTCACTGAGGTCTGCTGACTGCTGCGCTCTCGCCACAGGCGATCCAAAAGGCTCAATCGTGTCGGCTACCTCTTCAGCTTTCATATCCATGTTCTCTGGAATTTCCATTGCCTCTGACACTTCATGTGCCAAGTACGCCACTGTGTCACCACCCTCTGATTTCACACCGTTCAAGACTGCTGGAAGCGCAGGAAGAATACACACCGCGCTGTTTGTCAAAAGTACTATTGGAAAGCCGCGTGAAGGAGCGTCGTCTGAGCAGCTGTCATCACTGAAAGATTCCCGTTTTACCGGAGATTGTTGTGCACCCTCCACTTCTCCCTGTGTCATTATATCCGCTGAACTATCATGGTCTAAAGTGAGCAAAATAGGAGGACCATCCTCCTCTTCCATGTTGCCTTGTGATGGAACAGATACCGAGGAGAGATTTACCAAAGGGATAGATTTTGCCGTTTCCTCGTGTTCGTTCAACTTCCGATGCAGACGCAGTGGAGGCCTCGGCCACGCCTGGGTTTTATCCTTGCTCTTCTCAGAACCGCAGTTGCTCTCCTTCAAGTGTGCCAGCGAGTAAGCTGTCGATAGCCAAGGTTCCTCCCTAAGACGATGCTTCAGGCGCCCCACGACAGCAATTGGATCGTGCGCTGTCGCCGTTTTCTCCACTTTGGAGATTTCTAAAGTCTCAGTTTCCGTGAGAAAATCCCCCGAGTGTATTGGTAGCTCGTTGCCACAGCAACCCTCTAATGTTTGTCTCGCCAGTGACAGCTGGTGAGAGACATCAATGTCGCTGTAGGTGCCACTGCCCGCCCGGCCCAGAGGTTTCCCCACCAACTCCAGCGCCCGTTTTAGCAGTAAAGCGCGGCTGCGGCGAGTCGACTTGGATTGAACTTTGCGCTGGGTTGTCGCAACAGTTGTGCGTGATGCAACAGAAAAAGGGTGCATTGACGCCTTCACCGATCTTGTAGCTGCCCCCAACTCTGTAGTCAGCTCTGTGTAGAGATATGAAAACCCCCCCTTGAATTGCTTACACAACGTATCATCATCACATGCCAACGCATGTGTGCTTCTTTGATAACATGCCTGAGATGAAGCAAAGGAATCAGCTACAATAGCAGACACCTGATCGCCTGTTTTGTTCACGGGTAGTGGGCGTGGTGCTGGTGATGTGCAGCCATACCGCAGCTGCTGTTCTAGATGAAGATTCCATTCCTCCCAGCGGTGCAACATGGCCCTGGCTTCCTCAACAGTTTCCACGTCAATTGCAGGCGGCAAGTTCACATACGTACGTCTTGGTTTCACGGCCAGATGCGTCCTCAGTTCTGGTGCATGGACTCGGTCATGGTGCAAGTGAGGCAAAGATGCAGCCACACTGCGTCTTTGGTGGTGCTCAACGGGTGGTGGTGCAAAAACTGCATCCAAATCTCGTTGGGCAACCGTCAGCAGGGTATTATCCATCTTCCTCCTTCGTTTATTTCAACCGTGATGTATGCAGTAAACACACAGCTGACGGTAGCCCACTTGCACTGTACGGGAAGAGAAGCACAAGAGATGAAGCAATAGTAACATAGAGAAAGAGAGAGAAAGGCAAAGAAAAATAAAAATAGAAACAGCAACTGATAAACAATCAAGAGGCCCCACCACCATACGTCCTCAAAACACACAAACAGGAAACACACATAGCATCACAAAAAAAAATAATAGCAAAATATACAATGAATGCATACCACCCATCTACCAATTCATGCAGTAGGTATACTATTACTGTGTGTGTGTGTGTGTGTGTTGGCTTGTTTGGAGGAGACTGACTGCAGATTCAAAGTGAGCTACTCAGAGACAAAATAAAAAAAAACTGCAGAAAGTATATAATAATAGTAATTTGTCCCTACTTAAAAAAGATGAACAAGGTCAAAAAGACACACAAAATAGTCTGCAAACATGAGCAAAGAGACTTCATACGCAACCATCACATAAAGCAACAATGAAAGGAAAAAAATCACAAAAAATATAAATCCACAACAAAACTCGCCGTATTGTATGTGAAAGAGACACGTTATCTGATACATTCACATAAACTCGTAATCAAATGGACAAATAAGCAGCCACTGCCAAGAAAAAAAAAACAACGACAACAAATAACAAAAAAAAAAGACGCCACGTGAAGTTGTTGATACCAACAAAAAAAATGTGGATGCATCTAACATAAAGCCTAAAGATACTGCAGTTAGCTTCCAATTAAAACAAATACAGGAAAAAAGTGTGGAAAATCATATATATCTTCCTTTCTTAACATGGAAAGCAAAAAAAAAAGTTTGTACAAAAAAGGTCATTTGTACTTGTATCTCAAAAGAGCAGAGACACCAATTAAAAAGGGTATCAAAATAAAATGACAAGTTGCTATCGATTTAAAAAAAAGTGCTTTACATATTTCCTTACACTTCAATAATACTTTTTCGTTATTTTTATTTGTTCATTTGTTTCACTGCCTTCTTTTTCTTTGATTTTCTTACACTGTTGCTACTCACGGTATTGCTACGGATGATTGGCTTAAAGTACACATTTCTTGTATCCAGAGTCGGCATCTCACACACGCACCACGAGCCAAACTTAAAGGTATCTCTCAAAGAGGAAAAAGTATGATGTCGTCTGTTGACCCTGCGTTCTGAGGCGCACCTGTTGCTAAAAATTTGGCATCTGTTACGGTGCCACCTTCACCTCCTTAGTAGTGAGCGGCAGCCGTCGCCGAAAGCGAGTCGTTCCACCTCCCTTTGGTGGTGAGTTCAACTGTACAGCTAATGAATTGAAATCTACGGCATGTGGTGTCTTGGCCACTCCCACAAAAATGTAGAGAGACTTCTCCCAGGGCTTCACTGTGTCTCCTCTCCCAGTTGGAGTTGCCAGAGACGACCACTGCTACTGGAACAAGAGCAAAGTAACGGCACTGGCTCCACCTCATTCGTTGGGACCATCGCAGGCTTCTTTGGTCGACGTCCAACAGGGTGAGCCGAGTGTAATAGCAAAGTCTGTGGATGTGATAGCTCTGCTTTGAATCTTCTATTAGATGACACAAATTCTGAGGTATCGCTAGCACCTTAGTTAGCGGTCACAACGAAGATATCCCGCGATTACTGCATTAAGCTTCTGAAGGTGGTTTTTAGCCTTTTGGACAGAATGCCAGTAAAGGAAGAGTAAAAGAAGGTGCTCCTCCTACAGTGTGTAAATAAAGATCATTTTCCTGCTCCAAAGTTTCTTTGCTAGAGGTAAAGCAGGCGTAGCCCCGGAAGCAGGATCAAGTATGCCCTTATCATCATCTGTATTTGCCTGCTGTACGGTGCACTCCGTCTTGCTGCACTTTCTCTAACTATAGCTTGCATGCTTTATTACCCTTACGACGTCCTTCTGAGCGCATTTCCTATTTTTGCAGATGGATGGTCCCCCTCCCATAGCAAGCAGAGTGAGTGTAACAGCTTAAGCTTGTGCTACACTCCCTTGCTTAACCATCAATTCAATCTAAAATAAAAACAGAACCTAGCAGCAAGAAAGGAAAAGAAAAACATTGTATACCATAATAAATGAGTTGCCCCATTAGACACAGAAATACGTCCATAACATTATATACAACCAACTTCATCCAAGTAAAAGTGCACCATCTTGATTGCTGTTATTGATATTACTGAAAAGCTAAGTCAACTCAATAAGAAGAACTTCAAGGATTGAACGATGTAACATTGTGTGAAACCAGAGACATAAATTTGCTTCTAAACAGGAAACCCACCTTGACAACTCAAACTGATACTATCACCGCTTTGTCACGTCTTTTTTTAAAAAAAATAAGTATTTGATAATAACATTTCCGTCACCCATCATATTTGCATTAACAAATAAAAGCAACAAAAAATAAGCCGTTTGGAGCAGCAAAAGCAAATTTATTATTAAAATAGAAAATATTCGTAACGTTGAAACTGTCACTATTGATACATGAGGGCGATCTACGATAACCGAGCTCTTTGTAAACTAAACATATAGTGAACCTCAAGGTCCCACAACTAAGCGAAAACAACGTAAACAACACTTAAAATACGTAGAAAAAACACTTCGTTACTCATCAAATAAAAGAAAGCAGCACAATTTATTCTCCGCCTCAAATATGGCTCCCAAACCAAGAGCCAAACGAAATATGTATTCGAATTATAGTCATCTAATACAAAAAAAAACATTACGCACGAAAACAAAACAAAAAACTCATTCCCAACACATATGTGTGATAGAGCGTGGTGAAGGCGCAAAAACAGTACTTGGCATTCCGGTATCAAGAAATCTCCATGAAGGATCATGTTATCAGTGAGGGAAGTCAAGGCTAATAAATATACATTTTTCACTGTTAGTGACGCATTGAATATGTAACAAGAGAAACCAGAGGAAAAACAAAGTGGCGTATTTTCATAATTAAGCATAAAAGAATAAGCTTAATTAGTATTAGGTATATATATATATATATATATATATATACTAG